GCCCAGCCTAGCGTAATGTTTTTAAGGTTCATCCACGTTGTAGCACGTATGAGTGCTTCGTTCCTTTTTACTGCCAAATATATTCCATTGTATGGATACACCACATTTTACTTTCCCATTCATGACTGTTTCCACTTCGGAGCTTTTTATGGTTTGAATGTCCCCTACAAAATGCATCTTGAAATTTAATTGCCAATGTAACGGTATTGGAAGGTGGGCCTTTAAGAGGCATCACCTTCATCAGTGGATTAATGTCATTATTGTGGGGTTGACTGTCACAGGAGTGGGCTCCCGATGAAAGGATACGTTCAGCCCCATTTCTGTGTCTTGCATGCTCTCTTGCCCTTCCCCCATGGGATAACGTTGCCCTCGCCAGATGCTGGTGTCATGTTCTTGGACTTCTCAGCCTCCAGAACCATGAGCCAAATAAACCTTTTTTTTAAAATAAATTACCTGGTGTCAGGTCTTCTGTTATAGCAGCAGAAAACGGACCAAGACAGGGTTATTATGAACAATACTGCTATGAACACTAGTGTACAAGTTTTTGTGTGGAAATGTTTTTATTTCTCTTGAGTATAATTGCTGGGTCATATGGTAACACTACGTTTAACCAATTGAGGAGCTGTCAGACGTTTTCCAAAGCAACAGCACCATTTTACATACCCACAAGCAATGTATGAGGGCTCCAATTTCCCCACATCCTCACCAATAATTGCTATGTACTTTTTTTTTTGGTAGAGATGGGTCTCATTATGTTGGTCTCAAACTCCTGAGCTCAAGCAATCCTCCCGCCTCAGCCTGCCAAAGTGTTGGGATTACAGGCTGTGAGCCAATACACCCAGCTTGTCTTTTTTATTATAGTCATCCTAATTGTTGTGAAGTGGTATTAATATCACTGGTTTTGATTTGCATTTCCCTGATGGCTAATGATGTTGAACATCTTTTCATGTGCTTGTTGCCCCTTTGTATATTTTCTTCAGAGAAATGTCTATTTAGATCTTTTGCCCATCTTAAAACTGGGCTGTCTTTTTATTATTCAGTTGTAAGGGTTCTTTATATATTCTATATAAAGAATATATATATATATATAGAATATATATATATTCTAATACAAGAACCTTATCGGATATATGATTTGCAAATATTTTCTCTCATTCTGTGGGCTGTCTTTTCTCTTTCTTGATCATATCCCTTGAAGCACAAAAGTTTTAATTTTGATGAAGTCCAATTTATCTATTTTTTTTTTCTTTTGTTACCTGTGCTTTTGGTGTCGTACCTCAGCAATCATTGCCTAATCCACGGTAACAAAGATTTATGCCTATGTTTTCTTCTAAGAGTGTTATAGTTTTAGCTCTTATATTCAGGTTTTGGTCCATTATGAGTTAATTTTTGTATATGGTCTGAGGTAGGGGTCCAACATCATTCTTTGGCATGTGGATATCCAGTTGTCCTAGTACCATTTGACAAAACTGTCCTTTCTCCATGGAATTGTCTTGGCATCCTTGTCAAAAATCAATTGACTATAAATGTGAGCGTTTATTTCTGAATGTTCAGTTCTATTGCATTGATCTGTATGTCTTCAGACGGGGAAAACATTCAGTCTTTCACCATTAAGTATGTTGAAAGCTGTGGATTTTTCATAGATGCCCTTTATCAGGTAGAAGAAGTTCCTTCCAATTCCTAGTTTGTTGAGTTTTTTGTTTGTTTGTTTGTTTTGTTTTTTAGAGACAGGGACTCCCTCTGTTACCCAAGCTGGAAGGCAGTGGCATGATCATAGATCACTGCAGCCTCGAACTCCTGGCTCAAATAGTCCTCCCACCTCAGCCTCCTGACTTGCTGGGGCCACAGGCATGCACCGCCACACACTGATAAATTTTTATTTTTTGTAGAGATGGGGTCTCTCCATGTTGCCCAAGCTGGTCTTGAACTCCTGGCCTCAAGTGATCCTCCTGCCTCAGTCTCCCAAAGTGCTGGGATTACAGGTGTGAGCCACTGGGGCTGGCTGATTGTTTTTATCATGACAGGTGTCATCTACCAAATGCTTTTTCTGCATCTATCATGTGACATTTTTCCTTTGCTCTGTTGATATGTGTTACATTAATTGATTTTTGGATGCTAAACCAACCTTGCATTCCTGGGAGAAACCCTATAGCCCTTTTTATTATATGTTGTTGGATTCCATTTGTTAGTATTTTGTGGAACATTTCCCATCTATAGTCATAGGAAATATTGGTCTGTAGTTTCCTGTTATGTCTTAGTCTGGTTTTGGTATCAAGGTAATTAATACTGGCCTCATAGAATAAGTTGAAAGTATTCTATTTCAAAGTGATTTTTAAAATACCCTTTTAAACCAAAAGCCTTCATATTACAAACAAAATCCAGTTAGAAGATATAATGGAAGAGGATACCCCAAATAAGAAAACAAATAAAAAATGTCTAAATGTAAAATTAAAAAGACATGTCCAAAACCTATATGAGAAAATTTGTAATTTATTCCCAAATGACACAAAAATTGATTTGAACTAATAGAAAGATATACCATGTTCTTGGACAGAAAAATCCACCTCATAAAGGTATCAATACTCCCAAGCTGATTTGTAAATATAAGGTAATTCCCCCCAAATTCCATCAATTAATTTCTTTCTTCTTTTCTTTCCTTCCTTCCTTCCTTCCTTTTTAAAAACAAATAGGGGCCAGGCGCGGTGGCTCACGCCTGTCTGGGAGGCTGAGGTGGGCGGATCGTTTGAGCTCAGGAGTTCGAAACCAGCCTGAGCAAGAGCGAGACCCCGTCTCTACTAAAATTAGAAAGAAATTAATTGGACAACTAAAAATATATAGAAAAAATTAGCTGGGCATGGTGGCGCATGCCTGTAGTCCCAGCTACTCGGGAGGCTGAGGCATTAGAATCGCTTGAGCCCAGGAGTTTGATGTTGCTGTGAGCTAGGATGACACCACGGCACTCACTCTAGCCCGGGCAACACAGTGAGACTCTGCCAAAAAAAAAAAAAAAAAAAAACAAATAGGAAAGACTATCCAGGAAAAACCTGGAAAAGAAAATCACTGAGATTATAAAACATTATAAAGCCTCTATTTAAATAATGTGGCTGGAAAGCTATAGTCCCAGCTACTCGTGAGGCTGAGGCAGGAGGATGGCTTGAGCCCAGGAGTTTGAGGTTGCTGTGAGCTAGGCTGACACCACGGCACTCTATTCAGGGTAATGGAGTGAGACTCTGTCTCAAAACAAACAAACAAACAAACAAAAAAAACCCAAAGTGGCTGGCACTCATACATGGACAGAGTAAGAGAAATGAACAAAAAAATCCAGAAATAGATCTAAATGCACATAGAAATTAAGTACACAATAAAGTCTGTGGAAAATAAATGGACTTTAAAAAAATGGTATTGCAACACATCGATAGCCACACAGAAAAGGTAATATTGAGTCATCTCCTCGCACATGCACCAGGATAAACTGCAAGGGATCAGAGATTGAAATGTGAAAAAATGAGCCCAGACAAGTTCTAGAAGAAAATATGAGTGAACTTTCCCCAATATTAAATTTTTATATGGCAAAAATACCATAAAGCATAGTTAAAGACAAATGAAAAACTGGAAAAAAAATATTTACAATTTATATCTCAGACCAAGAGTTAGTCTTCCTAACATATAAAAAGCTTCTACAAGTAGAGAAGAAAAAGGCCATCAACCCTAATAGAAATGGGACAAAAGGTAAACACAGTTCAGAGGAAAAAAACCTGCAAATTTCCCTAAAATGCATCAAAAATGCTCAACCTGGGAAGCCACCACAGCCTCTGCCTTCAACTGTTTCTGCTGGTCCAGAAAAACAGGACGTACGAAACAAGCAAAAGAGAGATGTACCTAATCAAAGCTACTGCAAGAAACATAAAATGAAAATCAAAACATTTCGGTGTAGAAAATTCTCCCCCAGAACCAAATGAGCCAATTCAAAATGTAGCACAACACCCCAACTTGAATAAAATGTCCGTAAACAGGCACTCACAGGTACGAACATTTCCAATCTGAAATTGAAAAACTTAAAACAGAAATGGACCAAAATATCAAGATGTGAAATGGGACGTTAATGGAAAAAAAAGAAAAAACCCTAGAAATGTAGAGCGAGTTACATGAGAGAACGAATTCAACTGAAAACCTAACAAGGGGCATTAAGAAAAGGCATGAAAGTAGACAAGAAAAAAAATAAAGAGGTTAAAAGAGGAAGAAAGGAGCAGCTTTACGCTTTGGCAAGACCCTTTGGTTGCCAGTGCTGGGGTGAGGAGGACCCCGGATGGCGAAGGGGAGGAAGCTGCGCAGGAAGCTGAGTGACCCTCCCAGGGGCAGGGCGCCGGCTTCACCCCGGCCTGAGTACCGACTTCCAGCCACACCCGCCCTTCTGCCCAACACCGGCTGGCCTCGCTCCTGCGCCAGGCTCTGCCCGACGGCTCTTCCCCAGTCACGCCAGGGCCAGCTTCTACCTCTCAGGTGCCCCAGAAGTCTCCACCTCCATGAGAAGGACACTGTCCCCCACCTGGGGTAGACACAGGTACTTCCGGTGCTGGTTTCTGGGTACGCTCACGTTGGGGAAATGAATCAAGTTGTGCATTTGTGATTTGTGCGCTTAACCATCGATAACAATAAAAACATAAAAATCAAGTCGCCTGCCCTGGGATTCCCCTCACAGGACTAACCACACTCCGCAACTTACCACTCTCTCGCCTACGTCTCTCTGCGCTGTTCATTACATACCCACACTGTCCCTGGGATGGAAGCTCCACGACAGCAGGGACACGTCTGTCACTGTGACTGCTGTGCCCCCAGCATCGGAACAAACGCTTGGGCAAACGCTGAAGGGCTGCCTGCCCACAGGGCGTGATGCCCAGATGGGGGGCCTCGCCCATCCCGGGCACGGGGAGCCCACGGAGGGCCTCACCTTCCTCTGCATCTTCTCCAGCAGCTTGCTCTTGGCCCGCACCTCCTCCTGGATGGAGTCGTAGACATGGAGCAGCACCCAATCCCCACTGTCCTCGTCGGAGTTCTGCAGGGCCGCCAACAGCTGCTTCTTGCGCTCGTCCGCGTAGCGCTTCCGCCGCCTGTGCTTCTCCTTCAGGTCCCTGTTCTTGGCCTGCTCCCCACCCACCACCTGCTGCTCCAACAGCTGCAGACTGCCAGTGCAGAGGAGGAAGCAAAGAGAACAACACCTGCCCATCACTGAGCACTTGCCATCCGCAGGCCCCAGGTTACGTGTGATCCCACCGGGTCCTGCCGACAACCCCACTCTGCAGGGAGGGAAGCGAGGCTCAGAGAGGGGAACCCCAGGACTCCTACCAGACCCAGCAGAAATCTTCCCGTCGGCTTGGAGCCAACCCACCTTCAACCGCCCACCTCCCGTGCTGGTGGTGGCCCTGCAGCTGGGCAGGCCCCGCTATGCTCTGAGGCAGCTGGCAGGATCAGAATAACCCCGGGTGTGAAAATTGCTCAATGCACGCAGTGCACAATGCTTCTCAGGCAGTGACACGTACGATACATTTTTAAAATATTTATATCCCAAATGCTCAAAAATGTTTAGAGTTTTGCTGTTTAAAGGTACAAATTTTAAATAACTGCAGAGAAAGGCTGTGTGGAACTCCCGCTGTCTAATAAAGCCCCACAAAAATGTCCTAGGCCTGCCTCTTTCCAAAGGGAGGTGAGGAGCTGGTGCCAAAAGGCACCACAAGGCCTCAGCAGAGGAGAGGGGAGACCACGCTCGGAGGCAAAAATGGGACTCTGCGAGCTGAGCCACCGGGCCCTGACCCAGCCCCATGGCAGCCAGGGTGGAAGGGAGCCGCGTCCAAGTCACTGCTCTGCCAGAAGTCCTTCTGCGGGTCCCATGGGGAGGAAGCCCAGGCACCCAGGAGGGCACAGAGGGTGCCTCCATCTCCTCTCCCCCTGCACCCAGTCACCCCAACTCTAACTCGCTGCTCATCGTCCACAAACACCCAGGCCGTGTCCCACCTGCGCCTCTGGGATGCTGTGTTCTTTGTCTAGAACGCTGGCCCGGGCGTGTGTCCTGCAAACCCTACTCAGCTGTCCCCTCTCTTGTGCAGCCCTCCCGACCTTCACTCCACAGCAGGTTGTGGAAACAGCCACCACACACGCTGAGTGGTTTCTGTGCGCCTGGCACTGGCTGCCACCCCTCTGGGCGCTGCATTTGACCCTCCCCACCAGCTTCTCAAAATCACCCATTTTGTAGCGGAGGAGCTAAGGCTCAGAAAGGTTTAAAGTCTGCCTGAGGCGGCAGAGCTAGTGGAGGGGGCAGGATGGGAACCCAGGCAGTCAGACTGCTCAGCCCATGTGCTTCTAGCTGCTACAGGACGTGGCCCTCCCTGGGCCTGTGTGTCTGCTCCCGCCCCAACTAGGGGCCCCTTGAAGGCCAAGGCCGAATCTCATTCATCTTCGCATCCCGGTGCCCAGCACGCAGTAGTTGCTCAGTTAAGGTTTGAACTGTGGCCTCTGGGCCTGGGTCTCCCACTGCCAGGAGGAGGCTGAACCCCTGGCTGACTCTGTCATGGAGGTGGGGCTGACATTATCATCATTTACGAAGTGAACCAAGGCTCAGAAAAGTTAAGTGACTTGCAGGAAGCCACACAGCGGGGAGGAAAGCCCAGCTCCCCAGGCGGTCCCAGAGGGTGTCCAGGGGTGGCTTGTCCTAGTGTGAATGAGTCTGGGGGCTTGGCTGGACCTGAGGACAGCCTGCGTCACCCTGCCCTGGGATCCCTAAAACCTGAAGGCCAGGTGGGCACTGGCCTTCACTCTCACTCTTCACCCCTTCACTCTCTCCCTAGGGCCGCTGCCCCCTGCAGGCGCCTGACTAGGGTCTGGCAGCACCTGCGTAGCTCCCAGAGTAGGCCATGCCCCGCCGGCCCTAGCGGCATGCCAGCCTCCACTGTCCTGGAGAGAGCATCAGGGCCACCTCGCCATGTTAGGAGGGAGAGCTGGGAAGAAGCCACGGGCACCCCTCAATCCCGGGACATAGCTCCCTCCACCCTGCTGCGGGGTCCCCAGTCCCACGCTCTGGTGCTTACCGGGCCAGCACCTGCTGCTGGTCCACGACAGGCAGCAGGTCATCGGTCAGCACGGCCACCTTCATGCCCGCGCTCTCCCTCCTCGTGCCTGCCACGGCCAGCGGCGGCTGAGGCTGAGCCACCAAAGCCACCTGGACCTCAGCCGCAGCCCACGCGCCAGGCTCTGCTGCCGACACCGCCTCTGAGGCCACTTCCGTGGGCAGATCAATGTCCTGAGCACAGAGAGAAACCGGGATGGAGGTGGGCAGGCCACCCCGGAGACAGCTCGCGGCGGCCTCCGTCCCAAAAGGGGGCGTCCCACCCACCACAGCCCGGACACTGCCACTGTGACCACCAACACCCCCCAAATTGTCTTCCCATGTCCTCTCTTGCCCCCCATGATCCCATCTCCACACGGCAGCCAGGGCAGTCATCTTCAAATACAAAGTGATCGCACCCCTTTTCTGATCAGAACCCTCCGTGGCTCCCCATCGCAGTCACAGGAAAATCCAGTTTCCCCTGTGGCTATCGTGCCCTCCGTGCCTGCCCCTGCCTGCCCCCAGCCTCCTTTTCTGTTGCTGAGAAAGTCAAGATCTTTCCAGCCACAGGACCTTGGCACTTGCTGTGTGCTCCACCTGCTGCTTCCCCAGCCCCTCCTCCTCACCTGGGTCCCACCTCAGTGTCACTTCCTAGCCTGGGCTTCCCCGGCCATTCTATCTACCACCAACTGAGAACCTGCCATGTGCCCAGCTCCCAGCCAGTGCTCAAGTCCAGACTGTCCTCTTCCTCCATAAATGTGGGAGACATAAAGCCTCTCTCACCGCCCTGGGGCCTGCTGCACTGTCTTTAGCAGAAGAGAAGGGTGGGGTCTGAGAGCAGGGGTGTTCAAACTGGGTTCCCTGCCTCAGGGGCCACCAGCCCTATCCTGCCTCCCTCGTCCTCCACACACTCGGGGCCTCTACTCCTTTAGACAAAGGGCTCCAAGGTTGTGGAAGGTTTGAAATCACCATCTGGAACAAAGTCCTCTTATTCACATCGACAATAATAAGAGGGATAAAGGCGTCCCAACTGGAAAGAAAGAATTCAAATTATCCTTGTTTGCAGAAGATACGATTTTATATCTAGAGAAACCTAAAGACTCCACCAAAAAGCTATTAGAACTGATAAACAAATCCAGTAAAGTTGCAGGATACAAAATCAACATACTAAAATCAGTAGCATTTCTATCTACCAACAGCAAACAATTTGAAAAAAAAACCAAGAATGTAATCCCATTTACAATAGTTACAAATAAAATAAAATGCCTAGGAATAAACTTAACCAAAGAAGTAAAAGATCTCTATAATGAAAACTGTAAAACACTGATGAAAGAAATTGAAGACGACACAAAAAAATGGAAAGACATTGCATATCATGGATTGGAAGAATCAATATTGTTAAAATGTTCATACCACCCAAAACATTCTACAGATTCAGTGCAATCCCCATCAAAATACCAATGACATTCTTCACAGAAATAGAAAAAATAATCCTAAAATTTATCTGGAACCACAAAAGACCCAGAATAGTCAAAACCAAACTGAGCAAAAAGAACAAAACTGGAGGAATCACATTACCTGACTTCAAACCATACTACAGAGCTTCAAACCAAAATAGAGAATCCAGAAATAAATCCACACATCTGTAGTGAACTTAGCTGCAACAAAGGTGCCAAGAACATACAGTAGGGAAAGGACGGTCTCTTCAACAAAAGGTGCTGGGAAAACTGGATATCCATATGCAGAAGAATGAACTAGACCCTCATCTCTCGCCATATACAAAAATCAAGTCAAAATGAAGTAAAGGCTTAAATCTAAGCTGGGCGCAGTGGCTCACGCGTATAATCCTAGCTCTCTGGGAGGCCGAGGCGGGAGGATTGTTTGAGCTCAGGAGTTCGAGACCAGCCTGAGCAAGAGCGAGACCCTGTCGCTACTAAAATAGAAAGAAATTAATCGGACAACTAAAAATACATAGAAAAAATTAACTGGGCATGGTGGCGCATTCCTGTAGTCCCAGCTACCCGGGAGGCTGAGGCAGGAGGATCGCTTGAGCCCAGGAGTTTGAGGTTGCTGTGAGCTAGGCTGATGCCACGGCACTCACTCTAGCCAGGGCAACAGAGTGAGACTCTGTCTCAAAAAAAAAAAAAGACTTAAATCTAAGACCTGAAACTATGAAACTACTAAAAGAAAACACTGAGGAAATGTTTCAGGACATTGGCCTGGACAAGGATTTCTGGGCAAGGATTTCTTGAGCAATACCCCCAAAGCACAGGTAACCAAAGCAAAATTGGACAAATGGGATCACATCAAGCTAAAAAGCTTCTGCACAGCAAAGGAAACGATCAACAAAGTGAAGAGATAACCCACAGAATGGGAGAAAATATACGCAAACTACCCATCTGACAAGGGATTAATAACTAGAAGATATAAGGAGCTCCAAACACTCACCAGGAAAGAAATCAAATCATCTGATTTAAAAACGGGCAAAGGATCTCAGTAGACATTTCTCAAAAGAAGACATACGAATGGCCAACAGGTATATGAAAACATGCTCATCATTAGTGACCAGAGAAGTGCAAATGCAAACTGCAATGAGACACCATCTCACCCCAGTTAAAACAGCTTTTATCAAAGAGACGAGCAATAATGAATGCTGGCGAAGATGTGGAGAAAGGGGACCCCTCGGACGCTGTTGGGAAATTAGTGCAACCCCTATGGAGGACAGTCTGGAGGGTCCTCAAAAATGAAAAATAGAGCCGCCATGTGACCCCGCAATCCCACTGCTGGGTGTATACCCAAAGGAGGGGAATTCGGTATACTGAATAGAGATCTGCATTCCCATGTTCATTGCAGCTCTATTCACGGCAGCCAAGGTCTGCAATCAACCTGAGTGTCCATCGTCTGAGGAATGGATAAAGATATTGTGGTGCACACACAACGGAATATTAGCCACGAAAAGAATGAAATCCTGCCATTTGCAACAACATGGGTGCAACTGGGAACGTTGTGTTAAGTGAAATAAGCGAGGCAGAGAAAGACGAATCGCACAGGTTCTCACTCGTGTGGGAGCTAAATATGCAAAACAACCGATCTCCTGGAGACAGAGTGGCCGGGAAGGGTAGGGAGGACGGCGAGTGGTTCATGGTGCAAAACTGTAGCCAGACAGAAGGAACAACGTCTGACAGCACAACAAAGTGACTACAACAAACAGTAAGTTACAGTATACTTCAAAATGGCTAAAAGCGTGGAATTGGAATGTTCCTAACACAAAGGAACGATAAATGCCTGAGGTGACGACGCCCCAATTACCCTGATTTGGTTAATTGACATTGTATGCCTGTATCAAAACATCACATGTACCCTGTAAAGATATATTACACAACTATCACGTACCCATAACAATTAAAAATAAAATTTAAAAAATTAGAAGGAAATAAACACACACACAAAATAATAATAGCAAGAGGATGACAGTTCCCCCAGCTGTACATGGCTTGGCCATGGGCACCTGCTACAAGCCGGGGGAAGGCTGGAGTTGTCATCCGTCTCAGGGATGAGGAAACTGCGGCCCAGGGAGGAGACAGGCCGGAGTTCATGGAAAGTTGAACAGAACTGGCCCGCCACGTGGAGGGCCCAGCCCAGGGAGGGACTCACCGTCCTGGACGGGAAGTCATCGGCCACCTCGGCTTCAGAAGTAGCATCGCCGGGCTCCAGCAGGCCTGGCAGGGAGGGGTACTGGGAGGAGAACAGGGTTGGGGGAGGAAGAGAGCTGGTTTGGGCTGGAATCATCATCTACCTCCCTGCCCGACCTCTGACCTCTACCCCAACTCCCTCCCTCTGCCTGTCACCACCAGAGAAGGGGTCCAGGGAGGAGAAGAGACTGGTGGGAGAGGGGGAGACAGGGAGGAGAGGAAACGGGGATGGATGGGCACACTGTGAGCTCCCGCCAGGGTCCAGGATGTGATCTCATTTGAATGACACACTGGCATCCCCATTTCACAGATGAGGAAACAGAGGCCCAGAGAGGTCACTGCCCAAGGTCACACAACTAAGTAAGTGGTAGAGCTGGGATTTGAACCCAGGTCTGTCTGATTCAAAGACACACACACGGGAACGAAAGCAAAGCAGAGAACAAAGAGGGGAGAAAAGAGGAAAATCTTTTTAAAACATACAAAAAAGAGGGTCATTGAAAAGGGTGAAGATGCTGCACAGGGGCAGGATGGAGCAAGAGCGGCGCAGACGCCCCCACCCAGCTCACACCGAGCCCGCCGGCACCTGAGGGCCACCAAGCCTCCTGCAGGCCCGGAAGCTCAGTGTAGCCATGGCAACTTGGCAGCCTCCCTCCATCAGCAGAGCAGGTGCCCACCTGGCATGACCTTGTACCTCGACCCCAACTTTCCCATTGATTCCCAGAGCATCAGACAGACCCCTGGACACCACCGACACCAGAGCCCCGCGGGTACCGTGTGGGCATCAACCGAGCAGCAGAGGCCAGAGGTTCTGTGTGCGCACAATGACCTCCGTGCCCCGGCCAGCTCTGCCTGCTCAGGGTGTGCAGGGCATCATGCGTGACATCAGTACCTGCATGGGGGCCTTGGGGACGTCTTCCTGGGGTGCGTCTGTACCGGCCACAGCCCAGGAGAGTCTGGCCAGCTTGGCTTCCACCTCGGCAAAAGGATCGCGCAGGCCCGGTAACACCTGCAGGGGCGTCTGCTGCGGCGGCTCCTCCTCGGGGTAGTTCTCGTCCTCCAGCAGGGGCCCGGCGGCCTCCCGGCAGAGATACCCTCCCGAGAAGCATTTGCTCTCAGAAGCCACCGCGGGAATGCTGGAGAACTCGAGGTTGGAGGGCTCCTCGGGCCCAGGGAAGTCCTCCGACACAGAGGTTTCTTCCAGTGTGGATGACCCACTGGACCCAAAAGAACTCTCAGACTTGGAGGGCCCCACGTTGGGCAGTTCCTCAAACCTGGAAGAAATCTCAGTCTTGGCGACATCGTCGCTGGGCAGAGCATCGGGCATGGAGAGGACCTCGGGTCTCACGGCCGTCTCGTACTGGAAGGCGGGCGAGTACTCCGACACGTTGGCGAACCCGGCCCTGGACAGGACCTCAGCCTTGTAGAGGACTTCTGCCTTCAGGACAGCCTCTGGAAAACGGAGGACTTCCTTCAGGTTTTTAAGGGATTAGAAAGAGGGGACCCTTCTCTAGAAGTTGGGCCCGACCCCAATGTCTCCAAAAGACCAGCTTAAGAGTCAGAGCCTCCCAGGCTCCCGGAGTCTGGCTACAGCCAGGTGCCTTCCCATGTCTACCCATCAGAACTCAAACCGGCCTCCTTCCACCTCCTCCAGGCAGCCTTCCCTGACTAGCACTGCCGTCTCTCCATCCTCTGACCTCCCCAGCCGCTAAGTGCTGGCTGAGCTCTTAGCACTGGCCTTGGGACTGCGCCTCACACATCAGCAGGCTGCACCTGTGGGTCTCACACACTCCAGACCCCCAGGTACCCTGACTGCAGTGCCCAGCTCAGGGCTCTTGTCCACGGGATATGCCAGACCACGGGAGCTACTGAATGCTGGGGAGGGATGTCAGAGCTACAGAAACCAAATAAAGGTCACTTGGAGGCCTGACATTCCAACTAGAGGGAACACACTGAGGGACAGAAAATGCTAGAATCTGCTGTTTCTCTCTTGCTCTGGGGCTCTCCCAGGAGTGGCGTCTCCCTCCCAGCTGGGGTGGGGCTGTGCTCACACGGCCTCTCAGTGCACCCAGCGCGGGGGCTCCCGGCACCTCTCTCCCATCCTGTTTCCTCATCGCCCGCGCCCCAGGCTCCCTCAGGCGGGTTCTGATGTTCCCTGTGCTGAAACGTGACATCCACTCCGCAGCGAAGTGGCCTGAACCTCTCCACGCCTTGGTCTCCACGCCTGTGACGTGAGGACTCGTCCACCCCACTGTACTGGGGGAGGCTCGGGGACCGTCGTCATTGCCAGACTGGGTTTCCCAAAATTGCCGTGAGTGCTGGGAAGTCTTGGCTTCCCGCCGGATGGGTGTTTGAATGACACTGGTGGGGTGGAACGCCCTAGAATGGCGAGAAGAAGACACAAACTTCCAGACAGGTAAAAGTTCTTGCTAATGAGTGACTCCTTATTATGGGATGTGGTTACTATGGTAACACGGAGGCTCAAAAGCGAGAGGAAACTATGGAACAGGCAGACACCGGGCAGTGGCTCACCTCTCAACACAGCTGGTCCTTTCCAACTAAGGTCAGCCGTGAGCCGAGGCCCCGCTGGGCTGGGGGCGGCCAGCACGTGCAGTGCGGTGCTGAGAACGCAGGCTCTGCAGCCAGATTGCCTGGGATCAAATCCCGGCTCCACCCGTGGCCGTGGACGAGTTACTTACCCTCTCTGTGCCTCAGTGTCCTCATCTATAAAATGGGGGTGATGGTGGTACCCACCTCGCTGGACTGTTGTGAGGGTTAAAAGGACTGAGGCTGGCGCACAGGAAGCGCTCCGTAAATGCAGTCGCTAGGGAGAAGGAGAGGGGCCGGGCCTCCCCGGGCACAGCCAGGCCAGGGCGCCCACCTGTCTCCTTCTGCAGGTTCTCCAGCGTGGACAGCTTGACGTCGTAGGAGTTGCGCATGGCCGCGATGTCCTCCTCCAGCCTGGCCCGGGACTCCTGCTCCGCCCGGTAGTCGGCCTTCAGCCGGGCCAGGCGCTCCTCGTACTCCTGGCAGCGGGCGGGGCCGAGGGGAGGCAGCATTTTACCACCATTTCGTACAATACAGACCGTCCGTGAGCCAGACGAACCTGGTCACACCACGCTGCGGCGGCGGCTCGCTGGTGAGGACCCGTTCGTTTGCAGTCTGTTTCTTCCACACAACGATGTATCACAAACACCTTTCCGCATCCACAAATGCCTTTCTGCGCAATGGTCCCCAACCCATCGACGACAACAGAAACGTTTTCCCTCTGCTTTTCTCCCCATCTTTGCTACCACGGCCAGCTCTTGTCCAAACGGCCTCCCGCCGGGACCGCCGCCTGCTTTCCGGCTCCTGCCCCAAACCTCCCCCGACACAGCCACCGCGTGCCCGTCACACCAGGGCACGTCTCTGCCAGCTCAGGAGCCATCGATGGCATCCCATGTTCACAGGAAAAATCTAAGCTCCTCCACTCGACCTGAGTCCCGCCACGATCTGGCCCTGTCCACCCTGTGGCCACGTTTGGGGTCATTGGCTCCTTGCCACACGTGGACCCGCCCGCTTCCTCCCTGCCTCGGGCCTCTGCTCTGCCCTGGGCGAGCTCCTCCCCAGGCCTCAGCGTAGTAACCCCCCTCAGAGAGGCCTTCCCTGACCATCCTCTCGGAAGACGCCTGCCATCACCCCCTGTCGCTGTCCCTATTCCTTCTTAGCACACATCCTGAGCTTCCATTATTCTCTTTATTGTGTGTGTGTGAATGTTGTTAGACAGGGTCTTGTTCTGTCACCCAGGTTGCAGTGCAATGGCACGATCACAGCTCACTGCAGTCTCGAACTCCTAAGCGATCCTCCTGCCTCAGCCTCCCGAGTAGCTGGGACTACAGGCACGCACCACCGTGCCCGGCTAATTTTTGCATCTTTTGTAAAGACAGGGTCTCGCTGTGTTGCCCAGGCTGGTCTTGAACTAGGCTCAAGTGATCCTCCCACCTTGGCTTCCCAAGGTGCTGGGATTACAGGTGAGCCACTATGCCGGCCTGAATTTGTTTTTATTGGAGTACAGGACACAGGGTGGGAAATGTCACGTTGAGGAATGCCCTTCCCCCAGAAAACATCCATTCCCATCTTCCTGGGCTGGTTTGTGCAACTTTTTCTTCTCCTCGGAGCATCTTGTTGCCAGCGGCCTCTCCAGGCCCACTGCTGACTGGCAGCTCCACGGCAGAGAATTTCCCCTTTTTCTTGGAGACGCTTCTATTGCCTCTTCTGGTCACTCGCTGCTTCCTCCTGGGGTGGAGATGTCCCTCGCAGGAAGACCTGGGCTGCCAGGGGTCCCCTCGAGATCCCTACCAGCCAGCTCCTGCTTGGGACAGGTTTCTCTTCTTGGATTTGGAGACAGAGGTAGGCGGGTCTCCTGTTCCATTCTCCTGAGGTAGGCGGGTCTCCTGTTCCATTCTCCTGAGGAACCGTTGGGGGCTTTGGCTTTTGCTTCTTTTTGGGACTTTCCCCCATTTCACTACCCCTGGCTGAGGACTCCAGAGCACACCAGCGGGGACCAGGTGTGAACAGGTGTGGCCAGGTGTGAACGGTGTGGGCTGTCCAGCAAGTTCTCCCAGCACCTCTCTCCCTCCTCACAGGCCCCAGGCACCACTGCTGTTCTCAGGAGACTAGAGGGCGCAGCCGTTGCTTTTTCCTTTTTTAAGTCCTGCTTTCCCTGGTTCTCGGCTTCCCAGTAATCTCAGCGGCTGCTTCCGCCTCCTGAGCCAGTGGGCCCTTCGTGCTACTCTCTGTATCTGTCTGATCGCAGGCCTGTTGTCGCACACCCCTACGAGGGCGCACACTCCCAGAGAGCCAGGACCGTCCTGTCTCGTGGCCTCAGTTCCCAGCACGGAGCACGGGCTCCAAAAACACCTGCTGACCCAGGAAATGCAGGAAGCAGAACTGCGGGCTGCGGAGTAAGCAAAATATTCCGGCTTCTGATGCACATCGCCCGGGGGAGGCAGAGCATTTATGAATTAACGATCATCTGTGACCCTCTGTCTTTTGGAGCCGCTGCTGACAGAAGCGCCTGCAGCTGCTGCAGCCCAGAGAGAGGGCACAGGGACGGGTGCAGGGACAGGGACAGGGACAGGAGCAGGGCAGGCCCCACCTCACTCTTCACCTCCCCAGATCCCTGTAAGAACAAAACTGGCGCAGACGGCCCTGACTTAGGCTCTCGGAGAGGGAGAGAGGGGACAGAGAATAATTCTGATGTAACTGCATTCTTCCGCACATTTTTAGACACACTTGCACTTCACGGCAATACCCGCAATGTCACTGAGGCCCAGGGAGATTCCACGGCCAGGCAGCTCTGATGGCCTCACGGACACCTCCCCGCCATGTCCACGCCCCCACGCTGCCCTCGGTTCCTTCCTCACCCAGCTGAGATCCCAGGGCCCAGGCCTCTGGCCATCCTTCAGCAAGCGCCTCTGACCCACCCCCCAGCACAACTGACCCTGGTTAAACCCAGGCCCCAGCCCACCCACACCTGCGCCCTAGCAACACCTGGCTGGAAACACACACATGCAAACACACACATGTGCAGCCGCACCAACTTCCACTGTCACTTTTAAACGTGGGCCTCTGATTGGCCGAGCACACCTCCCCAGTCCTCCCCTGTCCTCTGTCCCCACAACCCTCCACTCCCCAAAGCAGTGGGAGCCCCTCACCTTCTTGCAGGTCTGCCCTGTGGCGGCAGATAAGCCACCGGAAGCCAAGCCACCCCACTTGCTCCCAACCCCCATCTCCCTCCTGTGCCGCGACCTCGCCCTCTGTGCTGGATCCTTCCCGACAGTCCACAAGACGTGCTCTGTTACTTCCGATATTTAAAACAGGAATTCTCTTCCTTGGCCCTACCTGCCCCTCCAGCTACAGGCCCCGGTGCCCAGCAGGCACTCGGAATATGCCTGTTTAGGGTTAAATGGGGGCTGCAGTGCCAGCCCAGACCCCTGACTCCTGCTTGGTACGCGACACACAGCCCAACGATCCTCAGCCCATGTGAAGCAGCAGGGAAACCGCTATGACACCCGTTCTATAGAGGAGGAGACAGAGGGTCAGAGAGTTGAACAGCCTGCCCAAGGCCACAAAGCCCATGAGGATGGACCCTAGGTATCGTCTAGTCCAAATCCTCCAGTAGACTAGAGACTGAAGCCTAGGGCCACCTCGCACACACAGCTGAGCAGACTCCTGGCCTGTGCCCTCCACCACATAGGGCCTCCACCCTGGTCCTGAATGCTTCTGGGATGGAAAGGAAAGCAGAGACCCAGGCACACAGTAGGTGCTCAATAAATACAAGCGTCATGAGAAAGAACAAATGGGAGGGAGAAGAGGGGCAGACATTCTTGACTCTTCCTCTAAGAGTGGCTCACAAGAGAAACTCCAGGGTTTCTTGGAGTCTTGGTGGTGGTGGCATCAGACACCACCAAGGAGGAGGAGGTAGGCGACCCGGTGCCCAGAGCAGAAGGACCCCATCGTCACACCTGACAGGGGCCTGCCCCGAGCAGCAGCACTTCTCCCTGGTGGCCACTAGGGGGCAGCAGCAGCCTGCCTGTTACATGGCCAGGCACCTGCCCACCCACCTGGGCTTCCTGCAGCCCTCCCCTCCCCTGTCCTCCAAAGGCCACCAGTCACTGCGTGGTTCTGTGCACGCTCCCGACTCCAAAAGTGTGACTTCCTTCGTTTCCACGGGCCTATGCTCAGCCATCCCAAAGGCCCCATCCTTGCCAGCGCCTCCCCCCCAGGAGCCAGGCCCAAGGCTCCAGACACGGACCTGACACCATGCCTGCCCCAGGCCAGCAGGTGAAGAGGCAGAGTGAGCAGTCGAGCTTCCCCGGGGCCACCATTTAGCCTCTCCCCAAACAGCACAAGCCTCCGCCTGTCACAGCACCTGGGGACTCTTTGGTGGGTTTCTCCCAGCCCTCCAGCCCACTGGACTGAGACCCCAGGCCTTACCAGGTCTGGCCCCAGACACTGGGCCTCAGGCCCCCACAGCCTGACAGAGACTTCCGGGGCCCAAGAGCTGATCCCAACTGAGGTCACAGTTGAGTGGCAAGGACCCAGCGGCAGACACATCTAGGCCCCAGCCCCTGAAGAGCTGTCCCTGCCTGGCATCAGGTTTGCCGTCAGGAAAAGCCAGAGCTCTAAAGGGACTGTCAAATGTCAAACTCCACCACATGCTCAGGTCTCAAAATACAGCCTTCAAATGGCAGGGAATTCCAGAAACCAACAGAGCCTGGAGTCAGGGATGGAGCCGAAGCCGGGACCTAGGAGGCTCTGCCATGCTCCCAACACCCTGCTCCATTCTCCTCACACACAGGCACTGACAAGGCCCGCAGTCTGGAGTCAGGAGACCGAGTGCAAATCCTGGCTGAGACTCACCCCCACTGTGTGACCTTCGGCAAGTTATGGCATCTCTTGGAGCCTCTGCTTTCTCTGCTACAAGAGAGGGAGTGTGGCCCCAACCCCAAAGCGATGGAGAAGGTGGAGTAAAGTCGTGTTGGAGTCGGCCCTCCTGAGCCCAGGTGACAGCCCCCCCGTCCCTCGGGGCCCCACCTGCCTCTCGGGCCTCACCTCCCGGATCAGCTGCTTCTCAGCCTCCGTGTCGTGCTGGATCACAGGTGGGGACCACAGCTTCTCCTCAACCTGGACCGGGTTTGGGGGCGCCTGGCTGGACAGCAGGGCTGGGAGAGAAACAGATATAAGCCACCGAGACCAAGGTGCACACGGTCTGCAGGAACTGGGCAGAAATCTGTAGAAAGATGACCATGTGGTCATTCAAAAAACACTCTAAAGGACTGAACTCATTTCAAACATGTCTCCATGGAAAACGCTCAGTTAGTCATCCGACAGAGCCCTCTGTGTCCTACACACTGAGGGTGCCGCCCTGCACAGAGACAAACCTCCAAGCCCACGTCGAGTCTTCCACTGGGGGAGAAAGGCAAACACAATAAATAAGCAAAATGCGTAACAAGTTACAAGCTGATGTGCGCTAAGAAGACAAAGAAAGCAGGGTGGGTGCTCAGAAGCAAGCAGCAGGGGGAAGGGCTGCAGTTTAAACAGCGTGTTAAGGCTCCTGAGTCAAGGCGAGATGAGCACAGTGAGCTGAAGGAAGTGCAGGAAGAGAGTGGGAGAGACCTTGGGGAGGAGGCTGCTAGCTTGGGAGTGGTGCGTGCAAAGGCCCTGGGGCAGGCGTGGGCCTGCACTGTCTGAGGGACAACCCGGAGGCCAGTGTGGCTGGAGTTGAGGGAGTGATTGGAGGGCAGGCGCAGAGAAGGTTGGAGAGGGACGGAGGCCAGGTTGCGGGGGCTTCGGCTTTTACTCTGGGTTAAACGGGGCCGTTGGCAGGTGTGTGCAGGGCAGTAATGGGACAGGGTTTGAATAGGATCTCCCCGGCTGCTCCAGGAGAACGCGCTGAGGAAGGCCTGTAGGCAGATCGCGGCAGCAGCAGATGGGCTCTAGCCATGTTTTGAAGGAAGAGACAACGGAATCTGCTGACGGATTGGATGTGGATTTGAGAGAAGCGAGAAGCCAAGGCTGACCCCACCGTTTCTGGTTTGAACGTCCGGAAGGACTGTGCTGCCATCAGCCGGGCGGGGGCGGCTGCGAGGCTGGCAGATGGGGACCCATCAAGAGCGGAGTGTGGGCTGTGTTGAGTTTGAAATGCTTATTACATGCTGCGTATTCAAGTCTGGAATTCAGAAGACACTTTTAAAAATTTTCAATATTTTATGATGTTTTGTCATCTTAGGGGACTTGCTGGCCAGGGAGAGACTGCCCCTCCTAGGGCTAGCCAATCCCTAGAGACAGCGAACAACTTGCCGTAAGTCCGTTTTTGATACACAAACCAACCAACCCCAACTCCACACCCCCACCCCCCTTATCTAACTTCCAGACGCCAAGCCAAGCTTTGCCTGCCCTGAACCAGCCTGGGCCAGGCACCAGGAGCAGCCCTACGCTGGAATCATTCAAACTCGCCGGTCCCACCCTGTTCCCTGGCCCTCTGTGCCTTCCCACGGAAGCCCCGGCAAAGGCTCTGGCCGAGGACGTCCCCTGCCCCCGCTGCCCTGGCCCCAGCCCTGTGGGGCATACCCTGCCTCCCCTTTCTAGGGAACCCGTAACATTAATCTTTCCTTTCAATGGCAGTGACCTCCCCAGGTTGTCACTCAGTCACCTTTATAAATCAACACCCAGACACAAATCGCACGGCCAGGCTGGGGCTCCACATGGGAAAGTCCTGAGCGCAGAGGTGGTGACTGACACCGTGTGGCCAGACGCAGCCACCTTAGCGAGTGCAGAGAGAGGAGAAGACGGAGCTCCGGCCCTGGGACCGCCCAGCATCGGCAGCCTGGGGAGGGGAGGACACCCGGGACCGAGGAGGACCAGGACGGAGGCGTCCAGAAGCAAGCGTTCCAAGGGAGGAGGCAGCTGAGCCACCTGACACCCAGAGGGCAAGGTGAGGCCTGCCAGAGGCTGATCGCCGGCGCAGCAAGGAGGTGCCATCTCGGCCAAGGGCAGAGCCAGTGGGCGGGATGAGAGAGAGTGAAGGAAAGAGCCGGGTGCGGGAAAGTGGGCAGATGTTTCAAGGGAAAAGAGAGAGATACGCCAGTACCAGAAGGAGAACCCAGCTGAGCGGGTAGCATCTCACAGCCAGCACCTGGCAGGGCAGACGCACGGACCTTTGGGTGCGACACACCCGGTCTCCGTCTCCAGGCCCAACTCCCAAGTCAGAGCAGCAGGCCCCACGCTAAGCCTACACACCCACAGCAAACGCAAGGCCGGTGTGGTCACAATCTCCACCTCCCAGAGGAGGAGACTGAGGCTCACAGGGGCCGTGTCACCTGCCCAAGGAGCAAGGAGGTGAGCAGGCTGTTGGCCGCTCAGCTCTCCCCGCAGCGCTGCCCCAGTCGGTTCAGCCTGCTGCGTCCCCCGCTCCTCAGCCAGGAAGTGGGGACACTAATGGCCCTCCCGGGAAGGCCGTACCAATGTCAGCTGCTGGGTTTGGGGACCCACCAGCACAGCCTCTCCCGACACCTCCTCTCGGTACGGCTCACCCTTCCTACCTCTGTCTCGCCCCTTAGCAATTTTGGAGGTGAGCGGGGCAGGGGCAGGAGCAGGAAAAGAGGAGGAAGGCAGATGGCCAGAGTGGAACCCTCATCGCGGTGTTCAAGGCCCTCTCCGCTCCAGCCCCTGCCTGGCAGCTCCCACCCCTCTGGACCCTAGGCAGCCAGCAGAAGGATCTGTAGTTCCCCAAATGCGCCACAGTTTGTGCATCTTTGCACACACTGGCCACCCTCATCCTAACAGGGAAATTTCTCATCCATCAAGACTGTGCTCAATCACTGCCTCCTCAGGGAAGCCTTCCCTGACTGACGACATCTCACCCCAAGAGATCTGGCTGTGCACTCCTTTCCTCCCTGTTCAGCTGTCTGCCCTAGAGTGTGTCTTGCTGCAAGTGATGGTCTGCTGGAGTGTCCTTCTTCCCCAGGAGGTTAGTACCCCATGAGGTAGAGCCCGGGTCTGATTCATCTCTGTGTCCCCAGGACTCAGCACAGGTCCACACACAGAGGAGGTGCTCAGAGAACTTTGGATGGATGGATGGGCAGGAGGGTGAGTAGAAAGATAGAGAAAAGAATGGATGATAGGGTGGAGTGAATGAATGGGTAGATATATGGATGGTAGGGTGGATGGGGTATGTGGTTAGAATGGGTGAATGGATGAGTGGATTAAATGGATGGAAGGATGGGTGGCTGGGTGGATGGGTAGAAAGAAGGATCAGTGGATGGATGGATGGATAGACAGGTGGATGGAAGGAAGGATGGGAGGGTGGGTGAGTCTTTGGATGACGAATGGATGGATGGGAGGATGGGTGGATGATGGATGGATGGATAGATGGGTGGATGGAAGGAAGGATGGGAGGATGGGTGAGTCTGGATCATGGCTGGCTGGCTGGGTGAGTGGGTAGATGGATAAATAACAGAGTGGGTAGGAAGGCGGTAGGCAGGTGAAAAGGTGGGAGGGTGAATGGGTAGATGGGTGGGGGGTGTAGAATGGAGGGAGAGAAAGGAAGGAGGATGGGGGGTAGATGAAGGCACAGACGGACCCAAGCTCTTCTGAGCCCCCTTCCTCAAGAGATTCTGGGATAAAGAAAATCTCAGTGAGGGAACCCTCAGTTCCCTACACTCCAGGTACGGATTTCCACCTGCCAGATGACAGCGAACGCCGGGGCGTGAGAGCCGCAATAACAAGGCGCCACTCCAGGAGCAGGGCGGGGGTGGGGAGTGAGTCAGCAGCTGCTGAGCAGCGGCAGCACCGTGCTGCCATGGGGACAGCAGCCGACCGGGGCTGGCAGATGAGCACAGCCCAGGCAGGGAGCAGGCAACGGGGTCCTGTGGCCGATGGGACAGGCCAGACAGGCTGGTCTCCTCCTGGGGCCCTCGGCACGCAGATGCCATCTGGGCCACCCCACAGAACAGCTCCCGTGAGGTGGAAAGGAGGAGGGACCTCGCTCCCTCGCTGCTCGGACAAAGGGAGAGAACCTTCCTCCTTGCCCCCCACCCTCCCACCGCCTGTCCCCGCTGTCCCACCTGACAGGCTGCCAGGGCTCATCTGCTGGGCCAGAATAGCCTTGAGCTTCTTGATCTCCTCCTGGTACTCGCGAAGGAGGGCGTCCTTGGGGTCCTCGTTGATGCGGGGCTTGTTCCTGATGTTCTTGGCTCGGTTGGCGTAGCGCAGCGTGCTGAGCGTCTCGTCGTAATTGTTGTCGGCGGGCGACAGGCAGGCCACCATCAGCGTCTTGGTGTTGCCGCCCAGCGAGTCCTGCAGCAGCCGCGTGAGCTTCGAGTCCCGGTAGGGGATGTGCTTGCAGCGCCCATCCACCAGGGCCGAGATGACGTTGCCCAGCGCCGACAGGGACAGGTTGATCTTGGTGGCCTCCTTGAGCCGCTCCCCCGTGGCACCCGTCTTGGACTGCCGCTCGCTGCCCGCCAGGTCCACCAGGTTCAGCTTTCCCGCCCGGAGGTGGTCCTTGCCCCGCTCGTCTGCAGACAGACCGGGCAGAGGGCGAGGGCCTCGGGTGAGCCCCACGGTGGCGCGGGCAGTCAGCCGCCAGGCGCCGAGGGCTCACCGCCCCCAGAGGGACTCACTTCAGCCACACATGGAGCCCCGTGGAGGAGGTGCTATTGCTGTGCCCATCTCACAGAAGAGGAAACTGAGGCTCCGAGAGGGCGTGGAATTTGCCCCACATCCCACAGCTGCTAAGAGGTGGAGCTAAGATTAGAACCCAGGGCTGCTGGACTCCAGGAGCAGGGGCTGGGAGTCCCAGCGGGACTCCTTCTGGCTATAACAAGCCCTGCAGACCTCCCGTGAGGCCGAAGGCAGAAAACGCGGGGATGTGACTGGATCACCAAGGAGCTGTGTCCTTTAACACAGGAAACATCAGCCTTGGGGACCTCAGACCCAGTTCCCAGCCCAGTCCTGCGTCCTCCTTGCTGTGTGACATCAGCAGAGCCACACGCCTCTCTAATTCTCAATTTCTCACACCAACAGAACGCGACTAACAATAGCTCCCCACTGGGGCTCGGGAGACAAGGTCGCAGGCGCAGGCAGCCGCGTTTGCTCACTTCCGCTTTCGCCAGCGCAATTTCACCCGACTCTGTGGATGTGCAGCTTCCCGGAAGGATGCTCCGAAGACAAAACAGGATAGAGGGCACGGCCCCCGCGCCTCTCGCCGGAGTCACTACACCCCTTAAAGATAAATGACCCGGTCCTGGCCTTTTCCTACACAGAAAATGATGTCTGGCAGGGCGCGTGACTGTGCCTCTGTAACCTACCGCCAGATGTGCTCTCACACCCAGCTCGATGCGATTCTGTTTCACTGTCACTTCTGGGCCAATGTGACGTGATCTTGCACCTGCTGAATCTTCACCACCCGTATATAGACCGTGCGCTGAAATGCCACGGTTGGGGCCGTCCGACAGAACTGATCCGGGGCTACAGGGCTCCATCTATGCCCCTCAGTAGGATTTCTGAATACACCTAACTTTAGGCCAGGTGCGGTGGCTCACAACTGCCATCCCAGCACTTTGGGAGGCCAAGATGGGAGGACTGCTTGAGGCCAGTAGTTCCAGACCAGCCTGAACAACATAGCAAGACCCCATCTCTACAAAAATTTTTTTTTAAAAATCATCTAGGTGTGGTGGTGTGCACCTGTAGTTCTAGCTACTTGGGAGACTGAGGCAGGAAGATCGCTTGAGCCCAGGAATTCCAGGTTATAGTGAGCTATGATCATGCTACTGTACTCCAGCCTGAGTCACAAAGCAAGACCCTGTCTCCAAAAAAAAAAAATCCCCTAACTTTAAGTCTTCAAAACCTTGATTTTTTTTCTTTTAGTCGACAAGTGGGTTGTTGGGAGGAGTAAACTGACAGCACATCCTCTCCTCGGGCCAGCACGTGGCTGGTGTCTCTCCGCCCTCCCACCCCCACCCCGAGGACAAGCCCAGCTCTGCAACAAGGTGGCCGTGCTGGCTGGGCAGCCCCTGGGTGTTAACAGTAACAGGAGAGCCAGGCTGGCAGCACTAGGCTCAGACGCACAGGTTTCAAAGACCTGGAGGGTCTCATCCCGATTCAATCCCTTAGCTGTGAAATTCAGGGATTTCACTTGACTCTAAGCCTCAGCCTGTCTCTCAGTAAAATGGGGACATAAACTCACCCCAAAGGGTCGTCACGAGGATTACACTGACAGCACATACACGAAGAGCTCCGGATTCCGCCTGGCACACAGCGAGTGCTTGTTAAATGACAGCTTGCTGCTTGCTCTTATTACTACTCACAATGCTTACTGTCGCTAGACTGCACCATCAACTGTCCCCAATGGGATGGAGGTAAAAATATTTCATTTCTGACTTTTCACCCAAACCCTTCGCTGGGGGGACGGGGACACAGACATCCCCCTTAGTCTCCACTGGCTGAAGCCAGAATTGGCCTAGGTCATGTCCACGAGCACGGCAATGTGAAGCAGCAGGAAATGTGGCTGGCATTCAGCAGAGACGACGGAGAGGGGCTTGCTTCCTCGGGCTTTTAAATAAAAAACAGCAGGAGGAAGCTGGCACTGCCCTATGGGAAAGCTCTTTGCAGAACGTACCGGGAGCCTCAACCACGTTGGCACCCTCAGTTCCAGGGGTCCCTTGTAGGGAACCTAATCTGAAGACATGACTCTCACAGCAGGAAAGCCTCGTGCATGAAGATGTTCAGCACGGCATGGTTTACAGCACTGAAACGCTGGAGCAACTGTGACCCTTGCCGAGCACTGGTGAGGATGTGGCATGAGCAAAGGCACTACACCTGGTCACGAAGACACAGGGATGACAACATGGAAAACACTTAGTGACAGCAAGGGAGACGAAACACACAGGGAGGGAAAAGCTACGCAGAGTGTAGATTTCAATTGTGTTTAGAATTTACATAGAAAAAAAGGATAAAAAAAAATACGCTTAAATGTTAGTTGTTTAGTTCCGGGACTATGAGTAATTTTTCCAGACCTTTCTCTACTTTCTAAGTATTGTTATCGAGCTTGTATTATTTTATAATGAAAACCATAAACATGCTGGCAGCCTCCCCATCCTTCAAACTCTCCTGCAAAGACAAGAGGTGCCCCCCAACCCAAACCGCTCTCTCCTCCTCCCTCCTGATCTGTCCTCGGCTGCCCCAGTCCCCGCCCCTCCCCCAGCCGCATCACTGAGGCTGTGACCACACTGACCCCGCTCCCCCCACGTCAGCAACCTCCAGGACACTCGGGACACTTGGACTGACCGCCCACACCCGGCAGGCACCAGGGGCTGGGCCAGCGTGCTGGGAGGTTCCACCTGGGTCAGGACTGTCCAGAATTATGTTCCTAGCTGGCCTGAGGCTGCTTCCTGCTGCTCTTTGGAGTCCTAGGCATGAGACAAACTTGGAGAGTGGAGTGGAGACAAACTTCACTACATTGCAGTGGAGAAAACTCAGATATCAGGGAGACCTGGGTTCGAATCCCAGCTCTACCACTTAGCGGTTATGGGGCCTTGACCAAACAAATCACCTCACCTCTCAGAGCCTCAGTTTCCTCGTCTGTAAAATGAGAATCACAATGCCTGTCTCTAGACTGCTGTGGGATTTAAGTGGAATGAAGCAGCGTAAAGCGCTCAGCACAGCATTGGCCTATAGACGGTCCAAAATAAACCCGGTTTCTTTCCTTCCTCGTCTCTTTCTCAGGTGACTGAATGTTGCAGAGAAAGAGGAGAATCCCAAAGGTCTGAGTGATACACACCCTGGGGGCAGACACCCAGCTCTGA